GGCTGTTACTTATCCGTGTTTACGGCAGAAGATCCAGGGCTGTATGGCAGTTCGTAAAGCTTTGAAGGCGTACCTTTTGTACTTTATCTATATATACGACATTACAGCCGGATTGATTGTGAAGCATTTAAATAGACATCTAGTACTCAATGAACCCGTTCCAGGTCCGTTCCGCCTATCGTTCCCGCCTCTCGAGGCTAACTTCATTTTGACACGGTGTCACGAAATGTCCGATGTTGTGGTAAATCACTCTGGAGACCATACGTGCAGATCTCGACGCCCAAGTTTGTCCCGGTGAGTAGTCTGTACAATTATCTATGTAGATACGGGACACATGGTACCGGTAATTATATACTACGCGATGTTCTTTCATTAGGCCGGGTCTAAGGGGTCTCCGATCTCCGAGAGATTCGGAGTTCTAGATCTTGACGGACGCAAACTGCCAGAGACTGCCACGTGGCAAATCCCCAATTCAACGCTCGATTTTTGAGCTCTTGCATTCAATTTCTGATCAGATTGAGTCGTGTATGTTTCACAGCATTCGCTTAAACAGCTTCCCAATTATGTCGCATGATGCACACATGGACCTGCTGAAGAGTCCATGTGCACGGGTCGTTGTACGTAGAAATTGGTCGGTGCTGTATTCGGGCCGACAACTGCTCTGGTAAGGTACGTACCATCGTTTCTAGAAATGGCGGAAGCAGATCGCAATGTGGGGGACCCTCGGGCGTGTCGTCGGTCTCGGACTCTGGTACATTAGTCCGACTCTCGCTGGAAGATATATGCTACGTTCTATTGGTTTGGTCCTTAGATCCACCAACCCAAAGTCCGTTCAGCGACCTGTCCTTGCAACTCGTCCTCTACCATGATGCAGGGCACTGCTCTCCTTGCGTTGTCGGTCCTACTCCTCCTCGTCTTCCAGAAGATAATCGAATTTCGTCGAGCCGTGCATTCTGTCAAGTACGTAGTATGTGGCATTTGATGAAGCGTCGCATTTGCTCACTCCATTGTGTGAACAGCAATCACCCTGGGTACAGATTACTTCTGAACACACTCGGTCCTATCGAGAATTTCTTCCCTCGCGTTCCTGGCATCACGCCAGGAGGCTTTCATATGTGGCGTCGTAAACATAAGGATTTTGAGTCGCACGGCTGGGATGTTATCACCTACGCGAGTCCTTCGACTCTATATATGCGCATAGTATCCGACGGCTGACTCAACCTGAATCTGATGGCAGGTCTCCGCATTTCTAGGCAGCAAGACCAACTTTTACGTCGCGGACCCGGACGCTATCAAGGTATTTCTCAAGGACGGCTATTCTTAAGAGCCCGACCCGAACCCTGTTATCACCCTCATAGGAAATCACCACACACAGAGCGCGGTTTCCGAAGCCAGTTGAACAGTACAAATTATTAACATTCTTTGGGAACAACATCGTGGCTTCTGAAGGAGAAGAGTGGAAACGTTACAGAAAGATTACTGCGCCCGCCTTTTCAGAGGTATGCTCATTATCATCCATTGTGCATTCTCATTGATATTCCGCCACCCGCACAGCGTAATAACAGGCTTGTCTGGGATGAGACTATTTTGATTGTTCAGGATCTCTTCAATAATGTCTGGGGTGACCAAGAGGAGATCGCGTACAACCATGCTGTTGATCTAACACTCCCAGTGAGTGTCCAATCGATTCTTTTGGCTTGTATATTCATACTGAAACTCTTTGAATATAGATGGCTCTCTTTGTAATTGGAGTCGCAGGCTTTGGCCGGCGTATATTCTGGAAGGAAGATGAGCTAGTTCCTCCCGGGCACAAGGTGACATTCAAGGTAGCTTATTTATTTCTCCAAATGCGAGAAAAGATAACTCATCACACGTTCCAGGGTGCGCTGCACACCGTGGCGAAAGAGGTTTTTACGAAGCTTGTCGTACCAGACTGGGTCCTCAAACTCGGTTTGACTGAGAGTCACCGACAAACAACTTTGGCCTTTGACGAACTCCATGTAAGTGGTCTTATTCTACATTCATGGCGGTATTCACTGTTGAAGAATCATTATTTGCAGATGTACTTGGTGGAGATGATTCGCGCCAGAAAGGAGTCTGAGAAGAAGGAAGAGCGATATGACCTATTCAGCAGTTTGCTCGATGCAAATGAGGAGGAGGAAGATGGTCAAGTCAAATTACAAGACAGCGAGCTTATTGGTATGTACTACGACGATAGTGATGCCTGACCTGGACATCTGAGCCCATTGTCATACATCAGGAAATCTCTTCATCTTCCTTATCGCCGGTCAGTCTATATCCCTTTGCCATATTAGCCATGATTCTGATTGTGTGACCAGGGCATGAGGTATTTCCTTGGCTATGCATGCTCATCGTTTGTTGTTTGATGGACGGCATTACTTGTAGACAACCGCGCATACTCTGTGCTACGTTTTTGCCATGCTTGCCATGCATCCCGAAGAGCAAGCAACACTTTATGAGCACATCAAAACCAAGCGTGTTATTCGAGATGGAGGATTACTAGTGCGTAGGCTTGTCTTTCCGCTTCATATTCAACTCTAGACAAGATATTGTACACAATCAGGATTATGAATGCATGAACGCGCTGCCATATTGCAGTTGGTATGTCAACCATTGTCCACATTTACCTGAAGATTCAATTAAGCACACCTTTTTTGCAGGGTTCTTAACGAGACTTTACGAATGTTCCCTCCTGTTCACAGTATACCCAAGAGTGTAGCCGAAGATACCACTATCACCATCAGCAACGCTGAAGGTAAGAAGACCACTATACCCATGCCGCAAGGATCCAGCATCTCCATGCACACCCCCGGGTTACATTATAATCGTAAGCACATGAACAGGCACCTTTACTGAGCATATTTGACACACGGAATATTATTTCAAAGCACGTTACTGGGTGGACCCTCATACGTTTAAGCCAAAACGCTTCATGGATGACAAATGGCCTCGAGATGCATTCCTGCCTTTCAATGCTGGTCCTCGTGCCTGTCTTGGTCGCAGGTTTACTGAGACAGAATCAGTGGCTGTCATCGCCATGATTGTTTCCCGGTACAAGATAGACATCAAGGAGGACCCAAAGTTCGCCCACGAGACTGCAGACCAGCGAAGAAGACGCGTACTCAGGTCAAAACCGGGCCTAAGTATGACGTGAGTATCCATCGACCTCAGGATTATATGTGACTCACATAATACTATTCACGTTGCAGGCCTCTTAAAGTGCCGCTAGTGTTCAGAAGGCGGCAAGAGACGTGAGTCGCTTCTGACACCGTCGCAAACTATACTTATTCAGTGATCTACGATAAGACAATAAATATCGTTAAGAAGTTACCCCAAGGGATAGACTGACGATCTAGCACAGCACCGTAGGGATAAATTACATCTGCTTACATTTAAGTAGTACATGGACCATTCTCGTCAGATGAAGAATGCACAGGCAGCGCTCAGACAGGAAAGAAATCCAATAAGATACTGTAGCGCTACAATTCGTCATGGGGAGACCCTGTAGATACAGTGGCAGCAAAAGAAGAGTCGGTAGTCCATATAACAGCATTGTCCGGAGCCTCAAGCGATAGAGGGACGACCTGTTTGGAGACTGCACTAATATCAGCAGTAGGTAAAGGTAACTCAGATGTGATGGAGGTCGCCACAGATGGTATTAGCGTGGAAGCTACAGTCACAACCGAAGAGATGACGGCAGTCGCAGAGCTCGTGAGGGCACTTCCCTTCTCCATGGCGTCCGCAACGTTCGCGGCACTTGAGCTGCGAGAGGGAATAAAGCGCGTCCACCAGAATGCCACCTTTAAGCCTCGATCGACGATGCGTTGCTTGAGAATGAAGAGGACCACAAGCAGGAAGAAGGCGAGGGCGGCGATGATGAGTAGCCGGTCTAGCCAATCTGACTTCTCGAGAGCAGTGATGAGATGCTTGGAGGTCACCATGAGACTATCAAGAACGTCGTGTGTCGAGGAAGCCGAACGGAGTGTTGCAGTCGAGGTATCTTCGCAGAACAAAACTTGTGGTAAGACAGAGCTTCGACTGTAAAGAAGCATGACATACCCAGAAGTTGTGTAGAGAGCACCGACTTTTCAAGTTCACCTTGCATGAGTCCTATTGTCCGCTGAAGAGCTTCAGTGACGTTGTTGTTAGCTGTCATGAGAGCATCCTCACTATCTCAAGATGTCAGAAAGCAATATGGGTGATACGAACGGGGCAGCACTCACGCGACTTTCTCATTGAGATCCTGTGTCTCTCTTACGGCAGACGACCGAAGTAGTTCGTCCCGATTCGAGGATGCAGTCGCATCTATGGCTCGCTTCGAGGCCAACAGTGCAGCCCGTGTATCCTTTCGTAGTCTACCAGATATCCGTGTTAGATTAACGCACTTCAAATTAGAGCCGACGTACCTTGCAAGTCCTTCTCGAAATTCATCTACAACCAACCTCAACTCTTTACGGTTCCTTTCGCCCTTTTCATCATCCACCGCAACGTCTAAGTTCTGCCCACGAGAGGTTGACAATGGGGTATTAAGATCCAATGCAAAGACATGCCTCCACTTGCCGGGCGAATGCCTCAATATCTTCACGCAGCTCGGCAGCGTACTGCTGTTGTGTAACGAGAGGGCCGGTGCATGAACGTAATCGAGGTATTTGAAAGTCACGGAGATCCTTCTGCCTTCTTTCGAGGGACTCTATTGAGAGCTTGGTGTTTTCGCCGAGTGTGCTAGGTAATGGGGGCATGGTGGTGGCGGTCACGACGCACAACGCAAGGTTGTTTATAACCGCCGACACGGCAATGTTACCTGCAGAATATTATGTAGTCGCACAAGGCAGTTGATATGCTAATTCTCCCTCATGTTCCTCAACGAATCAAACGTCCCATTAATATTGCGAAAAAGGACCAAACTGCAAGCTTCAAAGTCTAAGACTCCAAGGGTTAAAATTGAAAAAGCAATTGAGACCAGGCCTTAAAAAACGACTAGCCCACCGCGAGGGTCGAACTCGCAGCCTTCAGATAACGGTTGTCTGCCCGCACTCATAAGAGTCTGACGCTCTATCCGATTGAGCTAGGCAGGCATGATAGCAATACTAGACGCCCATGAGTTGATTCACCTAAATCCTCGTCGTACTTTTTGAGTCATGAGCTTTCGGAAGTTCAGCATGTAAATAGAATGATATTTGTTACTGTGAAAGCTATGATCTTGCTAATCGGTCGGAGTCGGTATAGATGATGCCCGTTTTACACATCCGCTGTGGTATACCATATATACGGTATCATAGCTTGGCACCCCGTTGCGAACTAGGTGCAGCCTGTCTGTCTTCTGCCCTCCGGATAACTCGGCGCATGAGCTCTAGCCATTCTTTAGTGCCTTCTGCCCCGCCAGCCTCACCTACACCCTGCACCCATCTTTCGGCCTCGCCAATCCTTACCAGTTCCTTCCACTCGTCCCTTAGCTTAAACTTATACTCCCATACCTCTCTGTACCAGTCCGGGACTTTCCACTCAGGTCCTGCATATTCGCCTCCAACGTACTTGTGCAATTCATCCTGGTATTGAAACTGTTCTTCTCCCTCCAATTTATGCCAAGCTCTCGCTATGACTCGCTCGTCGTCCCCCACTTGTTTTCTGAGTTCTTCGTACCGTGAGACGATATCTACAGCTTCATTTGCCGGATCAATGCTCTCGGGGACCGCGAATGCCTTCAATACTGCTCGCATTTGTGTCTCCACTAACGCAAAAGGTATAATCCTGTACTGTAGAACCACGAAAGCGAGACTTGAAGTTGGGAAGGACGTTACGAGAGGAAACATCTGCTTCGCGAGGGGGAATATATGATAGGTCGAGTTATATAGGGTTTCCGGAATCGGTGGAATCGGTGGCGGAAGCGATTGCTGCAAGAGAGTTCCAGGGAGGAAAGGAAGCGAGTGCTCGTATCCAGTCGCCAGGATGCAATGATCGATACCGCTCTCACTGGTCCCGTCCTCGAATACGACGCGTCCTTCAGTGACATCAGCAAATTCAGTGATGCGACCCCTTAGTTTCAGTGAACCTCGGTCAGCCCGTTTCGTTCCCGGGATAGAATGTACCACAGTGCGAGACACAGCAAGCATTTCGTCCGCAATGTCTAGCCCGCTTGGGCCGCCTCCCACAACCAAGATAGTATCGCCTATATCACGGGCGTGACGGTACCACGCTGCGTGCGATGTCTTCCCTATCGCAAGCCACGCATCCAAGCCGGGTATATCAGGGTAACGTGGAACCCTGTAATGCCCGTTCGCGACAACAACGAGATCAAACAAGGATTCCCCTGTGGGGGCGTCGGCACCAGAACTCGTAGGGCTCGTACGAACGCGCCACCGCGAGAGTTCTTTGTCCCAATCGACGGATCGAACACTGGTATTCACCCGTATATGTTGATTAATATCAAAGTGTGACGCATAAGACTGGAGGTATTTCAAGACCGTCGATGCAGGAGGGTACAGCAAGGTAGACGGCGGAAATGGAAAGGAGGGATAAGCCATGAGTGGATGTGGAAGATTCGTCGTCAACGAATCGTATAATGGTGTTAAAGGTGGGTTATCCGTAGGAGGTGCTGGAACCCTAGCCCCAGGATCTGTTATCAATGAGGCATCTGCGGGTGTGGGCTAGAACGTACCATACCCCACCAATTTCTTCTCGCGCCTCGAAAGCAACTGGTCGCCATAACCCTGCTTTGTACTGGGGCGAATCGGCGATGATTTTGAGTGCACCTAAGCCGCTAGGACCAGTACCAATAACGCAAATATCCTTCACAGTTGAATCTCGTTCAGACTCGATGATAGGATCTACCATTGAAACAGTTTAGAATTTAAGTCTGAAACAAGACCCGCATTGCGTACTGGGTAGTAAGTCCATCGCCAAGACCTAGTCGAGGGGGATTCCTCGTTCGGGGAAAAGCAGAGACAACGTTGAAGACAAGGTGCACACTCCTCGTTCTAGGGCTCGGATATCGCGGCCGCATTTCGACCGCAACTATGGGTGTGTTCAGGAGAGTTCAGCCTGAGACCGCTCAAGCGCTCAAGAACTAACACCACGCGGATGTTCGAAATTTGAATTTGGCGCAAGTGGTCCTGCCATTTCTGCCCTGAGCTTGAACACCAGGAATATTTGGCAAGAGTATATACATACGTCGCCCCTATAACATTTCTTATTGATATAGCTTTTTATAGAAGTAGTAACCGGCCCTCAAGCTGGCTTCAATCCTACCAGTATGCATATACTTTTATTCCAGCGATATGATTTATCTAACTTTGCCTTTGATACTAGTATGGTAATCCACTCCAGAGCACTCGTATCCTGAGCGACAACGTGAAGTCTAAGGAGCCCATGCAACAGCTAAATGACCAATGGAGGTGCTTCTGTTCCGAGTCAGATTAAACGTCTCTTCTCCTGAAGGCTTTTTGGTTTACAAAACTGAATTAAACGAATTTGTAGGTGGACTTGAGTGGAATTACACCTTCCATATATACCCCCGCATATCACGTTCTTCGCATAAGTTTCGAACTCGTTCTTATCCCACTCGCGCCGACATCTCCTCTTACGCTTCTGTCATTCGTCATGGCGGTAGCTGAGTCTCGATACTGTTCGGGACCCTGGTAGTTTCACGCTGTTTCACCGTAGTCATGGATCAATCCAATAAACAACTAGTGCGTCCTCTTTATATCGTTTAGAGTTTCCGCTTGGAGTAAGGCTGCTACCTGGTAACGGGAACTTTGCTGTGCAGCCGGAAGCTTAAAATCTTCGACAGGTGGATATGTACCTGCTCGGTACGGCGGTACCTCGCGCGGGAGACTTTAATAGCTCGCGGACCTTTGGTGTCAAGCAAATGCGCCAGAGTTTCAAGCTAAATGTGACCTCCGCTCCCTTTTAAACCTCCCCTCTCCTCCGCCAACTCAACTGTGTTACTCAAACAATCATGACACTCTCAATTGCGAAGGCGGAGCTGATTGGTTCGTTCCTAGAGACCATATGTTATGGTGAGTAGTAGTCTAGCATGTTCTCGAGGATAATTGGCGCAAGGCATGTTCAGGGGCATATTTGATGGTCCACATCGAGTGTCTCCGAGTGCTGTGTAAAAAGTATGGCTTAGGAAAGCCCATGCATTATCTCTTGTGCACAGCGTTGATTATATTCTGTCTTGTTACATTAGTAAGTATATTGTCCGCACCAAAGCTACAAACCTATATTAACCTCACTCTACAGCACTTCGTGGTTGATGTTATCCGTGTTATACAAGCCTTCACAACGCAAATGGGCGACCCCAATGCACCAGTTACTTATTACGGACAAAAGCACACCAGTCTATTCCTCATAAAGAATTTCTCGTATATGGCTGTGACACTCGTTTCTGATACTCTCATCGTAACTCCCGGTTCTATCGTGCATATATCCTCGCTCATTTAGTATTCAGGTATACAGGATGTTCCTTATCTGGGAACGCAACTACCTCATTGCGGCCGTGCCGTTTCTACTTCTTGTTGCAGACATAGGCAAGTTGACGCGTCTATTTTGATACGCTGTCCCATCACAAGCTGAACCCTGGCTTACGACTCTAGCAACCTCTATATGGGCGTCATACCAATGGTCGACAGTTGAGAACAAGCCCGGGAGTAACACTCTCATTGCTAAGGCAGCGGCTACACTTGGGGTCAATTATTTCTACGCTATGACTTTGGGGTTGAACTTGACTTGCACTTGTAAGTACCCTCCGTGCAGTCGGTTCACACGAACTGACCTATCACCAGTAATGATTTGTTGGAAGATATGTTTGATGAAGCTGCGTACCACTGGACCTACCATACACACGGTGAACGTTACAAGTATTATCTCCATGATATTGGAATCGGGTCAGTCTAGTCCCTTGATCGAGTGGTTTGTTTCTCAATCGCGTTTATTTTTACAGCCGCCATATACTCTGCTTTCCTCATCATACTCATCGCTACCAGTGCTTTGGGAGAATCAGCAACTTTCATTGTCCTTGATGCGGTGAGTTCATTCCAGTCAAACTACTGTTCTTTGAGCTTACACGGCTTCCTCAGATTAGCCCCATAATTGTCAGCGGAAGATTTACCCGAAAAATTGATTATTATTAACTGATGTTTCCAGGGAATGGTTTTCTCCACCATGATCATACGTACCTCACGGGAATCCATATCGAGCGGCACTCCTCTTCAGACACTGACCATCTCTGAAAAAAAGCCTGAATATTCTGTATAGGGTAGATCGGTGGCATAGACTTCCGCGGAACTGCAGTCGTACACTATTATACTGACAGATAATATATCTATAGAATCTGTAGATTAACTCCACAGAGGGTGGAACGTAGTAAATTGCATCCACTCACTGTCCATCCTTTTTGTCACCGGACGTGGTATCTGTAGTCCCCTTGAAAATCCGAGTCCAACATCTGCTGGAAACTCTTTCCCGCGTCGAAAAGATGCGTAAGCTGCCGTGCAATCGCAGCTAAGCATGCGAGATTCAGGATAAATATTATAGCGATTGCAATATTGCCCGTAAGGAATGTTGGTAGGCGTATGAATGAAGTCCGTGGGGAATATATGGTATCGACGTCTGTCTTGACTTCCTGGTGGCACTCATGCTGAAAACCCGCCTGTGGGTCATCACCATTGGTATACTGTAGTCGACTATCGGAAGACTCAGCGGTGTTCTCACTAGATTCAAGAGTACTGAGTCAATTTCTGTTAAACTTGCCGAGCACCCCGGGGATCACGGACCCACCTGCACGAAGTCTCTCCAACTCGCATGTCCTCACATTGCTCCCGTCCTGACATATCTCGAGCTTCAGCAGGAGTAGAAGTTGCGAGGGGGTGAGCGGGTGACAATGAGACGGTGTGCTAGTCGAAACTCGTAGTTTCCTGGATGGCAACACTGCGTAGGTGACAAATGATAGTTTCGCCGCGCTTCAGTCGACAGGCCATCTGATGTACAACCACCTGATTGGGTGGCCCTGGTTTAATGTTGATTGTAGGGTTCCTGGTGTTGACAAGAGAGAAAGTTGTATACAATCAATGAGTTA